AGTAGTAGTAGTAGTAGTAGTAGTAGTAGTAGTAGTAGTAGTAGTAGTAGTAGTAGTAGTAGTAGTATAAAGTAAATAGATTGGATAACATGTAATAGTAATTATATAATATATAACTTTCTTATATTACAATATTTTTAAAAATATGTTATAAGTTACAAGTCAAGTGTTTTATAAATAGTTCTGAACGGTTCTGAACGGTTCCGAACTATTTGTAAAGCAAAGTTTTAAAAGTAGTTCAGAACGGTTCCGAACGGTTCCGAACTATTTGTAAAACCGGAACTATATGGAACTATATGGAACTATATTAGATTTTTTTTACAAATAGTTCAGAACGGTTCCGAACGGTTCCGAACTATTTATAACTTTTGTTTATAAATAGTTCAGAACGGTTCTGAACGGTTCCGAACTATCTATAAACGGTGGTTTCTATAATTGGTTCTGAACGGTTCCGAACGGTTCCGAACTATTTATAGATTGACCGACTTTTAAAATGTTAAAAAAGTGATAGTAAAAAAACATTCATATGATTTATGATAATATGAAATGTGAAATTAGTCAGTATAGGTAATTTGTACTTGGTTTTCGTCTCAGGGGGTGTTCTAAAAAACTAAAGTAGTAGCAGTAGTAGTAGTAATTCCAGTAATATTTGTCAAAATTAAAGTAACTAGAGCCGAGCCTAGAGCGCTGAGCTGAGTCGAGTAGGTAGGAACCAGACTTCAAAACATAGAAAGAAATTGAAAAGAATGATGTGGCAAACAACTCTGCTGTCTGAATCTGAGCGAGCGAGTGTTTGGTGTTTGCATACAGTCCAGTCCAGTCCTGTCTAGTGAAATGTGAACTATGGACCATGGACCAGAACTCGCCCGTGTCCTTTATGGTCTCTTCCCTGCCCTGCCCCTAAACAGCTCAGGTGCCTTCAGAATCTTGTGATGGACATCCAAAACAGTCTTCTCACGGGTGTTGAGGCGCCATAGTTCATCCTGTGGGGCAGTGGAGCAGTACCCCTTGCCCTTCTTCACCTGCCACTGATCCAGAATGGCCTGTTCCTTCAATTTTCCAGGTCCTGTCTGGCAGCCATCCTCAGGGCTCGTAGGAGCACGTGGAAGGGGCTGGAGAGGGCCACAAGGGATGGCGGACAGGGAACAAGCGGGGGCCATCGAAGGGGGCCTGAAAGAAAGGCCTTATTAAAAAATGAATTGGAACTATTTATAAAATCAGTGTGGAACTATTTGGAACTATTTATAAAACCAGGTGGACCAGGTGTGAAATATTCCAGGGTTCCTTGCCAGGGCCTGGGCCTGGGCCCAGAAATGTCCAATGTGGATTTGTGGAGGCCCGAACTGAAAAGGTAGCGGTACGGTAGGCTCAAAGAACACCCTTGGCAAACCAGTCCTTGGATTGCGGTGGGTACCTCAGCCCTCCCAATGGCACAGACTTCACATACTCCATGACCTCACTGACTGTGGTGCCCCGAAGTTGTGAAGGAAGAACTTCTGTCACCAGGTGTGCCAACCCATCAACCTCCCCTGCGTCTGCAAAGTCTGCTCGGATCATGACTATGTATAGTCTTGATCTGGACTGCGCCATTCCAAACTTCTTGCTCCTAAGTCAGAGGGTATGGAAGGATTTGACCATGGCCCTGATCTATGGATTCTTTGCATCCAAAAGTCCAAAAGAGATCAGAACAAATGGAACGAGTAAGAAGGGCCAGGGTGCAACACTGCTACTACATGTTACAAAATACAATGTCAAAGTTCAAAGCATGTTTTTTGTCTGAGGCTGAGGTTCTCCATTGGAATGATCCGGATGTTATACGTGTCACGGAGAAGGCCCAGGCCTACCTCCTCTCCTTCCCAAACTCCTCGAAGCATAAAGTCCAGAGGCGCCTCTGCGAAACAGGGCTTGCAAACACAATTCACATGAATGGACTGACCACTATGCCACCTAACGTGCCATGGTGCACTGCACCATGTAACAACTCACCAGCCAGAAACAGCAGATTCATAGATGATTCATAGATAATAGATACGTAATCCGAAATCCGTAATTCCAATTACCATGATACTATTCTATGATTCTGTGATAGATAGACGGTAGATGATGGATAAACAGACTGTAGACTCATAGAGTCACATGTTCAACGACTTTTTCATGCATCTTGAAGAGATGGCTGGATGTGGAAGAGAATCTGTTCAACAAAAAGCGCATTGCAAAACAATGTTCTTGATTTTGCTGCGTGGTATGCCTGGGATGTGTTTGGCTGCCACCACATCAATCACGTAAAGAATCCAGTTGGAAGCTGCTGCTGCTCCACTCAAGTACCATATTTGGCATGCAAGTCGTTCACAAAAGCCAGCAAACATACAAACAGCATAGGGTAGCATAGGGCCATTCATACAATACAATACAGTCTGCTACAGGCTACAGTTACAACTTACAACAATATGGAAAGGAATGTTGTTGGTGAAAGTCCTGTCTCTGGCTAGTGTTCTGAATGTGCTGTGTATGGTACTTTCTTCATTTGGCCTTGACTGTTGCTTTTGGCAGTCTGAGGCTCAAATGGGACGTGAGTTCAACCAGCCCCCTTGACAAGTGGAGGTTGGCAGAGTGGTCGGTAGTCGTCGCTAGACTACTTTAAACAATTCGTTCACTAGGATTGCAAAGCCCGCAGCACTCTGAGAGCCTCAACCTGCAAATTGCCTTCTGAAGCACCAAAGCTTCGTTCACTGATTGATTTGACCTTTACACGGGTCTCCTCTTTGAGACCAGTGTTGACTGCGATCTGGAAGAGGCATTCTGCATGAACCCACCCATGTGGGCGCACTCGACTGTGATACCAGCTAAAGCGAACTGCGTTCTTGTTGATTGAAAGCTTGCACTGCAAGCAAGTTGATCTGCCACTGGCTGCAAAGGCCACATCAAGAACACCGAGTTCTTTGGCAAAAAAACTGCTTGCTGGCACTCCCTTTTGGCATTGGGTGATTGCTGCTTCTTTGGCCTCATCAGCTGCTGCGATCTCCTTCTCCAACTCTTTGGCGGCAACTTGCTCTGACAAGACTGTGTCAGATATGGCCTCAATGGGATTTGCTTCAGCATTGAGGTCAATGTCATCACCCTGATCACCACATGAGTCGGAATCTGAATCAGACTCTGAGCCTGAAGAATCAGAACCCTGAATTTTCTTCTGAGGCATTGTTGTCGAGGAAGCCTTGGACTTTTGAGCCACCTTCTTTACAGTCTTGCGAGTCTTGCCCTTGGTGTTTTTCCTGCTTTCCCGCTTCCTGGCCGCTTTCAACAGCGATAGCAACTGTGGTGGAGCTGTTGTTTTCTTCACCTCTGGTTTTGAGGTCAATGTGAATGTATCTCTCAATTCATCTGCGCTGGCAATCAGCAACCGGTTGTCAATCCACTTCATGTGGTATGACCACACTTGCACGTCAAGCATGACGTTTGGCGTTGCATCACCAACAAACTTCCTGAACAAATGATGGGAAGTGGAAACTTGTGGGACACCATCAACCAGCTCAAACAGGATGTCGCTATTCGCCTGAAAGGTCACATGCATCAATGTTTGCAAAATAGGCTTCTTCTGAGAAACCCCGAGCAAGCAAGCAAATGAATCACGCAGTAAAGAACTTGAGAAGCAAAGGAGAGTGCCAGGTTTCAGCTTTCTTTGAGACAGTTCGTGCTTGAATGATTTGGCAAGCCCATTCAAGCATCCAAACAAAGGATCATTCACACAGTGGCCTGGAAGGCACTGTGGAAGAATGCTGTCATTGCTATTCATTTCTGTGCTTCCTGCATCACTGTGCAATGAAGATTGCAAGAACTTCTGAATGTCCTCATCTGGGGTGGCTAAATCAATGGCGGACTTTCGCAAAGCACCGGAACCTCAGTAGTGGCAGTCAAAGTTTATTTTTAGACTTTAATATATTGAGTCGAGTCGAGTCATAAATTTAGACAGACTAGACTATGACTATGACTATTATATTATTTTATTTAATAGTTAATAATAATGGTTCTACGGTTCTACGCCGTCCACAGGAAACAAACCTACCCACCATGGGAAAAGATGGAAAGGGTAACAAAAAGCAATCGGAAATCCCTGGGTTGAAACAATTGGAAACAGGACTGTGTTCTTGTCAAATTCAAAGGCACTATCTGCATATTGGGTTGGCGCTGTCCACCAGGAATGCTGGGCTTCAGCCTGCACATTCAATTGAAGCCGGCGAGCTGCTAGCTTCTTCCGAGCATTCCTGTCCACTTGTGATTCCAAAGCTCTAATTTCAGCAGTTCCAGCTTGAGCTGTTTGAGCTGCAAGTGGCTCCTCAGCCAAACGGTTGCGTAGTTCCTGTTGGTGAGCTGCTTGAATGTTGTAGGGTTCTTTTCCAGCGGCATCAAGAGCTTTCCAAGCTGCAGATATCTCTTTCAGTTTGATGCGGTATTCTGAGGGATTGCACGCAGCCCCCTCCATGTGACACTTCTGAAAAACATTCCAGCCAGACAAGGAACGAAGCTTTCGAGAAGTCGCCTTCTCCAAACGGGCTGTCTTCTCTGCTGGAGTCTCTTGAGAAACACGCTGCCGTTTCTTATCCTTGGCTCACACAGCTTTGCAACCACCACTGGCTATCATTGAGAACAAATTTCAAAAACCTTTGTGCTTTGCACTCTGCATGACTTTTTGCTACTGAGCTTGGCACCTGTCCAGAATCTTTGGAGTATTGGTTGGTGCTCTGAACACCACTCATTTTCAAAATGCTGGATGATGTTTTCTTCGAAGGCATAGTATCAGCCTGGACCAATGGTTGGATGAGGTCAAACTGCTTGATGCATGACTGGAGAAAAGTAGTTTCTCGTGCAGTGGGCGGAGATTTGACCTGTGTCTTGCCTCTGTGGCTGACTGCGTACTGAACTACACCATTCTTGACCTCAACTAGGTCACTGGACAATGGAATTGTCCCTGCTAGGTCCAAAAGCAACTGCCTAACCTCGCAGAATACTGATTCCAACTCAGCTTGGGAAAGGGAACGCAGATCATCATACGGATATTGCGACAGCAGAACACAGGTGAATGTGTCATCCAAGCAGTGTTTGCAACAATTTGCAGCCTCCTGCAGTTTTCTCCATGTATCCAAGCAGGTGGCAGTGTCACAACCTACCAAGGAGAACAGATTCCATGGTGAGCAGCTGAACTCATGGACAAGCCGGCGCCAAGAGTCTGACATACCAACAAGGATCAAATTGAAAGCGAGATGCAGGACTTCAGAATTGTTGCTGATGTCCAATCCCATGTCAATGCTTTCTGCAAGATCTTTCTGTAGGAGTCCAAGGTAACGGCGCATGAGATCTCGGCCCAAATCCCCACCAATAGTGTGCAAGAATCTGGCCCTGCTTTTCTGAACCAACTCTGAGAACTTCTGATTTGCAGATCCAACATTGGCAATCTGATGAAGGGCTTTTGTGCGGCTGAACAGATAGTTGATGGCATAATCAATTGGTCCCAGTACACAGGCCATCACTACAGCATGTTTGTCAAAGTCTTTTGCGGATATGGCTTTTATCATCATGTTCTTTCTGACTGAGTTCTGCACGCTGTAGGAAACATCAGCATCCAAAATGCCACCAACCAACGCTTGCATATCTTCTTCAGTGAAGTTTCCAGAAGAAATGGATGTGTCTGCCAGAAGTGCATCGACCATTGAGACAAGCTCAGCACCAGGCTTGCAATTGTCTTTCAAGCCGAGAAGAATCCTGGGAAGCAAACCATGAAGGGTGCAGAATACCCGAATGTAGCTGATCGCTGGGCCAAAGTGCTTGAACCTGGAGAGAAAAGGTGTTGGATATCCCTTTCCCATCAGGGGCACTAGTAGCCTCAAGACCTTGCTCAATGCTTGCTCATCACTGTCACAACATCCACAACACCAGTGGATCACTCTTGGAGAGCATGTATCCCCGTTGCAAAATTCAAGAATGGACTCAAGATTCTCTTTGGCAATCTTTCCTGGACTGTCAAAATTGCGTGAAATCCACTGGGCTCTTGCTTTCCAGATTGAAGAGTCTTCTGGAAGTTTGGTCACCTGAATGCCTCAGCTGCCCCTAAACTGATCACTGTCACGTCACTGGTGGATTGGATTGGTTGTCGACTGTAGTCTAGTCTAGTCTTCTGTCTATAATGTATTCCAATTTCTACTAAACATTGAACAGTGCAGTGTACGGTATACAGTACACCCCGACAAATAGGCCTAAGTTTTCTGCCATCCAACATGTTGAAGTAGCAAGACAGACTGACATCCAGCTCTAGAGAACCACGAAAAATGCGAAATGTTTTCAAGCCAAACCAAGACACGTTCAAAATTTCCATCTGTTTGGAGTAGTCGCACCAAAGAAGAGGCGAATGATTGCCGAAAACTGTATTGTTCAAAACAATGGCCAAGTCTCACCAGTGTTGCCCAGAACCCTGTAATGGACAGGGCTTGAGGCTTTCGGATCAGGTTGAGTTGATGTACCAGGCATTGAACCTGGAATCCACACACACGGTCATGACCCTGTTGAGATCGCAGAGATGCCAAGAGCTGGCGCTCAAGCTTCCATGAGGCTTGATTGGCTTGGAGCGCGTCACCTACCATCACTTCTGTCCGAAACACTCGAGGGTGCGGGGTCACATCGTGGAATGAAACACCAAATTTCCCTAGCAAACTTCCAATTCCAGCTCCACATACAATCGACATAGCTGTGGAGGCGGCGTGAATGTTCCCACATTGAGGAGATGAAAGAACCAACATTGGAGTGGGAATATTGGTGGAGACCCACAATTCATCCTTTCCTGCTGGGCTCATTCGAACATGGACAGCTTGGACTGTGTTGCACACAGTGTGAATGGTACTGCGCAAGCCAGCACCCTTCATTCGTGTGTCTGTGTCATCAGCAATGACCGCATTGATGATGTGCTCTACTGGCTTTGGCTGACCAGCACTATCGGTGAATAGCCCTTTCACTAGTTCAACAATGAACTGCACCAAACTAAAAACACATCTTCCCCGTTCTGATCCAATTTTCTGGTAGTCTTGCTCCTTGGAAATGCCTGGACTGAACAACCTGCGTGTAAAGTACTTGCTTTGCAATATCGAAGCCCTGGTTTGTGCCTGTGTTTGCCCACTGTCAACCACGCCCGCATCAACTGCATGAAACTGCTTACGAACTCTAGCCTGTGCAGCAGCCTCTCGGGCTTTCGCTGTACGCTGACTGCGACGCAGCCTGCGAAGCTCCTCATCTGATGATTGGCCTTCTGGCTTTTGCTCACTGGTGTCCCAAAGATCGCTGAAAGGCATGGCGCAGAGTGATGACTTGATGATGACTCGAAAAACAAGTCCAAAGAACAACAACCCCAACAACATTCAACCAGTCACCTACATGAATCTCAACACACTTAGTTCTGGTCTAGTCGTCTTGTCTTGTTTGCATTGACCGCCTACCATACTGGGACCATACCTTACTTACCATACCATAACTCGACCATGACTCCTGACTAGTTCAAAGTCTCTTCTACATGACTGTTAGAATTCCTGTGAAACCTAAACCATCTGTCTATTGGAGCCTAACTGGCACAGGCTGACAGTACTCTGGCAGTGGAGCATTATCTGACTGTGAAGGTGAGATGACGCCAACCACTGGAATCGGGCCTCGTACACGTCGAAGAACGGATCATGTGATCCATCAGGCACAGTGAACTTGTGGGTCACTCCCATAACCTGCGCAAAGGAAAGTGGGTGACAGGATTCTTCATACTTTGCATGCTCATGGACGTCTGGAACTGTCAGAGTCAGGGTCCAGAGTGGGTACAGTGAAGTTCAGTCAGCTAAACACAGTCTTTTTTCAAAACGTAATGGGCGACTCCTGTGGCTAACTGACTTCTTCAACCCTCTCTGGCCTCCTCCATCAAGACAATTGGAGGTTTGGCCTGACCTTGGAATAGACTGTCAGTGGACAAACCATCAAATCAGTGCCATAGCTCATGTACCTCTGGTAGCACAGTGGCTATTACACGCAGGCAGTTTGCATATAATACAGTCACAGTTTCACAGAACAATACTTCTTCAGACTTGGCGTCTTGGTTTTTGCAACAACCAATTGTATGTTTGGACCTGACCTGACCTCCACCGTCTCAAAAAGAAAGTATGCCATGAATGATGTGCCACTAATAAGTCCAGCTATTCATGAAGTCGCTGCTGATCATTTCCCAATATTGTAGTATTTCAGTACTTTGAAGTATTGGCTCTGAATTCTCAACTTCTGGCTCTGACAGGAAAGTGAAGAAGGACCAATGGTTTTGTCACTGCTTCAGTATGGGCTGGTGGTGCCCCAAACAATTGAGGCAAGCTGCGAATGAACTTGGCCCCAAGCAAGAACACCGCGCCCTCAACGCTTAAGAAGGGATTGCCAGATTTCTTGCGCTTGCTGTTGAGCACGCTGTAGGGAGGGCACGGAGGCCCCCAAAGAAACATCCAAGGCGTCTCCTGACAATCGATTACACAATTGCCACACTGCCAACCAATACCAAACTGGGAGGACAGTCCAGTCCAGTCCATCATCAACACAATCACTGACATGGGACATGGCCATGGACCATGGGTTTAAAACGACTGTACCAACCAAACTCTTAGATTCAGGTCTGCTGACTGAACACCAAAGGCTACTACTTTTTGACTTTGCCTTGATAGTTGATAGTCTGAAGCCTGAAACCTCGTAACATCTCACAACACATGACTCACAGCTAGGCTTGCACCACGACCCAGTCCGTCTCGAAGTGGCAATTGTCAGCATGGATGTGACAGTGTCCAGAACCAGCGAGGGCAGTGGCGAGGTCACTGTAGGCGTGCTGAACTCAGGAATGCAGGAAAAGGCAAAGTGTCACACTCTTTAAAGACAAGAAACTCATTTGGACATTTGTCAAGCTAGTTACGTGCAGCCAGCCATACAGCGCTGGCAACTTCACTGTCAGTTGCCTGTCTGTCAACAACAGCAGAAAAGATGCAACCGGATCAGAACCACACGGGATTGGAAGTTTGCGCAACAACAACCAGATAACCAACAATCATTGCCAATGTTCAGAATCCCTCACTTCTGATGGGAACCGGAACCACTATAAGCTGAGATACGGAGTGTTGTGTCAAAATTGCGCATCAGGAACTGCCTTTTGAAGGGCTCAATCTCGAACGCAGCTGAAGTCACACATTGACATCCAAGAACTCCACAAATGTCACGCCTTAGTCAGGCACAGCGGCACACTGTCACTGTCACAGTTAGCTTAGCTTGGCTATCTAAGTGCCCTTTTGCCACTCATATTGGCCCTTGGCCAAACCTAGGCCTAAATTTACTGGACCATGTGGCATGTGGATTTGTACTGTACAGTCCAGTGCAGTTCTGTAGTTGATTCCACATTGGAAAAATAATGTGAACGTGTTGAAACGGACACCACAAGGAAGTGAACACAGCTGAAGTGAATTAAACCAAGTAACATTGCATATGTACCTGTTCCCGCACCAGCACAGCCCTCCAAAATAGTCAGCCTGGGCCCGTGGGGAAAGTAGGATTGCACAACTCTGTGTCGGAATGTGGTGGCGCAAAATCAAATAAAATGCTATGGTCGGATACTTGGAGTTGAACATGAATCTGGTAATCTGAGCTCAACTGAACTGCATGAACAAAATATGGAATACCGATACGGTATCCGGTATCGACGATATGATATGATATGATATGATATGATATGACAATACAGTCAGTAATGTGAACAGACAGTCTAGACTCTAGACTTTAGACTGTATTGCCGTTGCCTGTATTGCCTACTGCTTTTAAATGCCTTTGTACAATAGGCAGCTGATATATTATTTGATTTGATTGAGAAATGAACCTCTTGTCTATCAGGGGGCACCATGTGGGGGACACTCAAGACCACTAGAGCTGAGTGACTTCTTTGGCAACTGGTTCCTCAGTTGTGGCAAGCCCAATGCCTTGCAGAACGTCTCAGCCCAGTTGAGATGGTCTGGCGCAGCCCCACGATCCTCCAAATCATCTTCCACATAGGCCCTTAGGTTGACATAGACGGTAGACAGTAGACGGTAGTAATTATAGTCAGTCAGCAGATCTAGGTCTAAACGTCTAAAACTGCCAAGGAGGTGGCTACTTTCCTGGTCCCCTTTTTTGGCCTGGTACCTGGTGCAAAAAATGGCTAGCTGACTAGCTCAACTCTGACTCTGATGGCCTAAACCGGAACTCTGACTTCAACCATGTGTCGGAGGTGGAGTTCTCACAGCAGGCCCCAGTTCAGCAGGCACCATGACAGGCAATGCCACTGCCCACTGCCCAATTGGAAAAATGTCAAAAAAGGAGAGGAGGGAATGACATTTCCTTTTTGATAAAGCATGCAGCATGCCTCAGGCCTCAGTAGTAGTTGTAGTTGCCATATAGATCATACGTATAGTTTAGTTAGGACGGTTGATTGTTCTTGTCTCTAGTAGCACTAGTGACTAGTGAAAGACTTTGAACGATGAACCAATACAGCAGCCCCACCCAACCTTGCACTTGGGCCAGTTTGGCGACCACAAAGCGAGCGACAAATAAATTTAACTGAGTCTCAACCTGGTTTGGACTCATCTTTGGCTGGCGCTGGATCTGCGTTTGCTTGCTGCAGCTGCTCTTGGTGTTGTTTTTGCTATGGGAGGAGGGGGTGGAAGTGGCATGGGCAGTGAATATGGTGCTGTTCTAGGTGGTGCTGGTGGTGGTGGAGGAGGGGGTGGCAATGGCACTCGTTGGCGAATGCCTGGTGGAAGTGGGGGTGGGGCTAAGCGTGGAGGTACTGGTGGTGGTTTGGGGATTCTCAGTGCTATCGCTGGTTGCGTTGCTTTTGGCAAGGCTTGCTTTGGTGGGGGTGCCGGTGGGGTAGGCAAAGAGTGAACTGTGTTTTTTCTCTTCACTCGGATTCGCCTCACCACCTTTATCTTCACACGACGCCTTTTCGCCATGTTTGGTTTGGCACAACAGCTTTGAACTTCACAGGTGCTTGAGCAGCACAAAGGCAATCAAAGTGAAACAAGAAAAGCAATGATCAATAGGGTAGTGGTTTCCTGGTTTGCAAGACACATTCACGGACATCTGTTGAATTCCTTCACTACTTAGACAGTTAGTCTATTTAGTTTGCCTCCTATTTCTCTTCTTGCTTCGGAAGCCTTCATGTACACCATAGCCCCAAGTGTTGACATGGAGTGCAAACATAATAAATCATAATCACTGTCATAGTCCATATAACTGTTAAAGGGTTTATATATAGTTCCAGGTGATTTATAAATAGTTCCAGGGGATTTATAAATAGTTCCAAGACCCCATGTCTCTCTGCACAGTAACCATTGATTAAAGAGGCCCACCCAGGCTCTAAGGTATATAGATATTAAATGTCCAAAAGTTATTCCTTCAGATATGACATTTCCCTCAAACTGCCACATGTTTGAGGTCCAACCCTAGTTGTGAGGGTCAAAGCCTTTGGGTACAGTGAATCGAGCCTTACGACAGTTTCTTGAACTGGATGACTGGGGCGGGACGAACTATCCCTGGGAGTAGCTTAACTCAGTGTGAAATAAAGAGCCAGCCAGTACATGATGAAAGGATGGTGAAAAGATATGAAAAGTGTTGGTGCTTCTAGCTGTATGGGATTCTGCTTGCCTGATTTAGGTGTGGTTGTCATGACCCATGCCATCACACTGCAGCGCTTTTTGCACACACTTAGAGAGAGAGAGAGAGAGCAAGTGCACAATTTCAGAGAATGACTCAACGAATGCAGTAGCACTTGAATGCATGAGCCCCCTTTAGTGCAGAAACAACGTAGACGGCTTTGGCTTTACGTAGGTTCATAAAGACTCAAAGTGCAGGTACAAGAGTTGGCGTCCCAACTGTTGAAACATTAGTTTCTAGAAGCTACTAGGGGCTTCTGGCATCGATACTGGGAGCAAGGACGCTACGAACGGGGCTCCTGGCCGTACTACTAGGAGCAAGTAGCTACTAGTAACAAGGGCTTAAAAAAACAAACAGAAGTTCGGCGGACCTGTAGGTGACCCACACACGCACAGGATGTGACACACGCACACACACGGACGGGGAGGCCAACTCATCCGCAGTGCAGGCACTTGGAATGAAATGTGCATGCGAAGCACGCTATGGAAGGGGGGCAGGCTTGGCACCTTTCATGACCTTCACGTCATTGGTTTCAATAACTCCTCAAAACGTGAGTGTCCTTACACATGGTCATCGCGTGAAGCATGCACTCCCCCTTCGGCTT